GGAATGATCAAATCTGCTGTGAATCATCCTAGTACATTGCTGTGAATATCAATCAAAGTCATGAGCATCATTGTTCCACAAGGACTAACTGAGCGGCTACCATGTGCCAGGCACCAGCCTCAGTCTCAGAGATACTGCACTGGTTAAGCCAGACCAAATTCTCCAAGCTTTCATTTGAGTAGTTATAAATGTGTAAGGGTCGGAGCATATCACACAGTGCTTAGTGCAACAATGAATAATAACGCAGAGGAGAGAGGGAGATGGGTTATGGGGAGTACCGGTACAACTTCCAGCTCTCCATCTCTAGAAGGGACTCTTGGCTCCCTCCCCTTCCTTCTGTGGTGCCACTGTCAGCATCTTTCAGGGCAACATTTCATTCAAGGCCTCTGCAGCTCCAAGAGCAATATTGCCTTTGAAGCAGGGCCCAGCAGCGAGGCCTCAGGCTGGGGCTGGATTTAGTCACCCTTTACGTCCCCTGGAGGGTTGGTCAAGCACCTCGGCCTCATGGGCTATTCCTCACCCTGGGGAAGGCCTGGATTCTGAGCCATCCCCTTACCCTCCTCTGTCCCAGGCAGAGGGAGAGGTTTACAAACACGAAGGGGCCTTTGATCGGCACTGGACTCCCAGTGTTCTGCCTGTTTTTTTGTTCCAGACCACAGGCCAGGACATCATTCTGCTCTGTCTCCTGGAGGGAAAACTACGGGTAGGTGGAATGTGTGTGTACGTGTGTGTGAACAGGAAGATGGCTTCCACACGTGAGGTACCGATTCTCTCCGACAGGCACTGGCTGGTCTTGTAATGGTGAATTCAACTCAATCCAGTACATACTTATGGACACTCGGCGTGGTGGAGCACACCTATAATCCCACCACTTCAAGAGGCTAAAGCAGAATCAAATTCAAGCCTGGTCTGGCCAATTTATCAAGTTCCTCAAAAGAGCTGTGGGTGTGACTCACGCATAGGGCCTGGGCTCTGTCCCCAGTGCCGCCTCCCCACCAAGTGAGGACTTATGGAGCACCTACTGCATTCCAGTTGTTTTGGCAACTAAGGCGAGAGCAGAGGGCTGAGCAAGCCTCTCTGCAGTTTCCAGGATCTAGAGGACACTGACAGGATGCATGTGAGAGGGGCAGGTGCAAGGATGCCAGGTGGTTGGACTGATCCCAGGTGGAGAAAGCTGGGGAGACAGGTGGGGGTGGGGAGTCACCCCACACATAGGGTGCTCGTGAGAGGCTTGCAGACAAAGTGGCATCTGGCAGGGACAAGGGAGGGAGCCCTGAGAGATCTACGAGAACTGTGTGAGGTGGAGAGAACAGCAGACACAAAGGCCCTGCAATCAGCACAGACTGGCATGTTGGAAGCATGGCTCCCTCAGAGGTGCTGGGAAGGTAGGAAAGCAAGGGGTCCAGAAGGTAAAGGCTGGGGTGGAGCAGGACAGATTGACCCTGAATGAGGTGGGACCCCTGGACAGTCCACATAGAAGAACAGGACATGAACTAGGATTTCATAGGCTTTCCCAGGCTGCTCTAGAGGATGACAGCTCAGGGGGCAGTGGGGTGACAGCAGCACAAGTGAGCGAGGCCCATGCAGAGGCAGCTGCAGTGCTCCAGGCTCAAGGAGATGGCTCCCTCTGTCTGCTGCATGAGGAAGAAGGTGGGGGCTGGGGTGGAATCAGGGAGATGAGTGAGAAAGTCATAGAATACAGCTGTGCAGCAGAGTGCCGGAGGCTCCAGGGCGGCCCCTGACTCGCCCATCACCGTAGCTTCTTTAGAATCTGACAGAGCTGGACACAGCCAAGGCACTTACTAAACACCTGGTGAAAGAATGAAGACGTGAGAGAATGGATGAAAAAACTGAGACAGGAAGGAAGCGGACATCCCACTCTGTCCTGCTTGTGACACTGACAGTGACTGGCACAGGGCCTGCCCCATGGACAGAGATGCTCAGCTAAGGTGCTGTTGAGTGAATAAATGAACAAGTCCAAGGGAGTGAGGAAAAGAAGAAACAATAGGAAGCACGAAGCTGGAAGAAGCAGGAATGAGAGGAAGAAGGGGGAAATGGAGGAGGAAGAAAGGGCAGGAGGAGGGAGAAAGAGGGAAGAGAAGGCCAAAGAAAAAGAAAAGTGAGAGGAAGCTTCGTGTTCAACTGCACAGCAGATGAGTGACTTGCGACCTCTGGTGGCAAAAAGAAAAAGTTCACAGTGCTCTGGAGTTGCTAGGCCCCAAGTTGGAAACAAAAGGAAACTTCGAAAAAGAATGTTGGGGGCCAACCCCTGGAGGAACACTAGCTTCTCCAGGAAGACCCTGGTGGTCTTGGGCAAGGCAAGAGAGGTGTTTGCCTGAAGTGTGGACACCTACGGGGTCATGGGCGCTGATAACTCAGTAACCAACACAAACATTTTGTGTAATTCTAAGTATTAAATTGGCAAGCCAGGGCCAGGGAGATGGCTCAGTAGAATAAGTGCTTGCCTGGCAAGCGCAAGGGCCTGAGTTCAATCCCTGGTTCCGCAAATAAATAAATATATATATATATATAGGCAAGCCATGGCTTACAGGCTGGCTGTTATTACAAATAATGGAATCAGGATTAGATTTCAGCTTCTTACTTACCTCAGAGTACACCCTATGTCCTTTCACTGGCCCCCACCCTTTCATTAATTTTCCTAAAACCCCTCAGCCAGGGCCAGTGCGGCTCGTATGATCAGAACACATCTGGCATGGAATACTGACGGAGCTAGCCCTTTTCTCAGCCCCATGGACTGGCCACAAGAGCTCATCCGTGTTCGAGAAACCACTGGCTGGTCTCCTTTCTAGTGTTTGACCCGTTTTGGTGTAGCACCACATTCCCTTTGCCCTGCCACTCCCTGAGTGACTGTCAACAGACTTCGTTTCTCTGTGCCTTAGTTGCTTCCTCTGTAAGATGAGTTCAAGTATATGAAGAACTTAATAACTGCATGGCAAAGCTCGCTACTGTTAAAAGCTGGGGTGTGAATCTAGCTGTCATTTATTGTGACACTAGGGCAGATTTCACATTGCTGAATGACTTCCAAACGTGCAAAATGGGGACAATGACCCATGTGTGGTTGGGTGCAGGCGAGACTTCGCATGTAGCTGCCAGTGCTACCAGCTCATCTCTGCAGGAACTGCTGTTCCCCAGGTCCCCAGAACTGCACAGGGCTCCGTGGCCCTTTGTTAGGCCCTGAACCACGGAGGGAAACCACAGCTTACCTAGGAATATTCGTTAACTCATCTCCCCTCATAGGCCAAGGGCTGCATAGGACAGTATTCCTCCTAAGAGGATTTATGAAATGCCTCCAATCTTTAGCACTTGCAAAGGAAATTATAGCTTCTCACCTGCTATGCCACCTCCACCACTAGCTGCCATACTGTATGCCTCACTAGTGCCAGGCCCTGTGCCAAGCAGCTTGTAACATGCTCACCATGTAAGGTACTCAGATGAGCACTGGGTATGGTGAACAAAAACCTATGTTCCTGGTCCCACCAGAACACTCATCCCATAAAGCCAGGTCCTGCATCTATCTTGTTTACTATTGGACTCAGTGCCCAATAATGTACCAGGCACATAAAAGGCATTTTTCAAGTAGAACTTACTGGGAGAAAAGGTAGTTTTGTTATACCTAGCCCCCCACACACACACACACACTTATACACACGTTCCTTTCGGGGAAAGAAACTCATTGGCCAACTTAAAAGCCAATTACAGGGTTGTTTTTTATTTGTTTGTTTGTCTGTTTTTCCCGGTACTGGGGATTGAACTCAGGACCCTGCACTTGCCAGGCAAGTGCTTATTCTACTGAGCTATCTCCCTGGTCCAGTTAGTGGTACTTCCCATTCCCAATTGTCTTGCTTCTTAAACTAGACTTTATTTGAAAAATAAAAATTAAGATTTATTACATACATGTACCTATTTCCTACATGGAATGTAAACCTTCCTTATGTACAGCAGATATGTACTAGTAAAAAAGTAAAAATTGAAGACTCTATCAAACTTCATTCACAAGCTTCCCATCATTTTTTATCTATTTACTGCCTGTGATAAAAATCAACTTTTTTACCTATATAAACTTAGAGGAACTGTCTAATCATCACCTTTTTTAAAAAAATCTTTTTAATTTATTTGATACAGGGTCTTGCTATGCAGCTCAAACTCTTAAGGATCCTCTTTTCTCAGCCTCCTCAGTGCTGGGATTACAGGCATGCGCCACCATGCCTAGTTTCATTGGCGCACACAGTGCAGGACCAGCAAGGTACAGCATGAGGTACCAGGGATCGAACCCGGATCCTTGTGCTTGCCTGGCAGGCACTTAGACTGCCAAGCTATCTCCCCAGCATTCCATCACATCTCTTATATAATAATAAAAACACAGAACAACAAAAATGTTATCTAAATTTTAGTTACCTGAAAGTAAGAAGACTTTTTTAAAAAAAGAAACTGGATTGAAACTGTACTTTTCATCTGTACTGTGCTCCTCAAAAAGAACATTTTACAATAAGCCCAGTATTTACAAGGACTGGTCAAACTATACAGTAAATGTTTAAAATTTTTATCATAGTAAAAGACACATTGTCATTAATTCCTCACAAAATACTCCGTCACTTATGCCACTTTCTTAAGCAGTTCTGGATGTCCTCTTTCATGTCTTTACAATGTATGATAAAACACACTGAATACTGCTGCCAAGTGCCTTACAGCAGAAGGGCAGGCTCACGAAAACTATGGCATTGTCTTCAGCAGATCTGGCACCTAAGACTTCTGGCTATTCTCCAAAGTCAAAATGACCATGCAAGGTAAACACCGATATGGCAGTCATGCCAGCGCAACTAGACCTGATGCAATGTGTCTTTTTATTTTAATAAAGTAGTTGTTTGTTTTGCTTTTTGGAGATAGGGTCTCATTATGTAGTTCAGGCTGACCCTAAACTATGTAGTCCACGCTGGCCTTGAACTCATAGCAATCCTGCCTCAGCCTCCCAAGTGCTGGGATTACAGGTGTATATCATCATGCCCAGCTTTAATAAAGTTTTTTTTTAATCTACTGTATTTTTTATCAGATCCTTTGCAAGTTTCATAAAACACACTGATATTTTCTAGATTTTATTTCATTTTTTAAATGTTGGTCATATCTTTCAAAACTGGTTTCAATCAAATATATCATGTACATGACAAAAAACAAAACCCTGAGTTAAAGGACTAGTACAGATATGGGAAAGCCTGCCCTAGATTCCTTTAAGTCCCCAATTCTGCCTAGAACTTGTCTTATTTGCACAGAAAACTCTTAACAACAGTGAACTGCAGATTACTGACACGTAAGCATCATCACAGATCACTTAAAAATATCCCAGCTCCTTTATTTCGTTAATGTCCTCAAATTTCCTCAGAAAAAAAAAGCCTCACTATATGTGATTGTCACACACATTCTTTTACCCAACCATGGACCTCTTTCTTCCTCTCAAGCGCACTTCATCTAATTTTTTTAGCACTGGCTTGGATTTTTTGGAGGCATTAGAATAGCTCTTCAAGAAGGCTTCAAACACAGTCTCAGTGTTGGGGTGGGTACTGAGGAAGGCTTTCTCTAGGACGTAAAGATCAACTCCCTTGTCTTCCGGAAGTCCTGAAATGAAGCTCAGCCCAAAGTCTATGAGCACAATGTTCAGATGTTCCAGAGGGGGTTTCAAGAGCATGTTGGAAGTGGTGAGGTCACCATGAATGAGGTCTCCGTCGTGCATTCTAGCCAAAACATGCCCAACTCTCTCGGCTAAGCCCAAGAGGCTTTGAGGAGTGTTTTCAGCCTCCATAGTGGATTGAATATAATCTCGAACAGTCAATGCACCTTCAATTTCTTCCATATACATGCAGTTAAAGGCATAGTCCACAAAAAAGACAACTGGTGCAGCTATCCCTGCAATCAACACATAAGTCACTGTTAAGCCAAATTTTTTTCTTAAATGATCAGTTTAATATTCAAAGACTGAACCAATATTTCAGCAGACACTACTTACTTCAGAAGAAGGATTTAGGAATATTTCAGAAAATGGTGTAACTTATCTAGACATTCTCCTGCCCAAGCGTGGAATCTATGCCTGAGACCAGATATGACTAAATTTAAAGGGCCCAAACCCTCCTCCTTTCCCAAACACCTTCTATGACTGGATTATGTCATATTTACTCCCTAAAACACAAAACAGGAGAAAGCCAGAGGGGAAGCATCACCCCAAGAGAGCAGTTCCTATTTGACAGGGTCACTATCAGGAGGCCAAGCAGCATATTGGCTTAAAGATTCACCTTTGTTGGGCTGAGGTTCAAAATCCCAGCTCCTGTCCTTATTAGTAATAACCCCAAATTACGTTAGCTTCTCTAAGCCTCAGTTTCTGCTACTGTTACATGAGAATTTCTCCAATAAACCTAACGAATCTTTACTGAATGTCAACCAGATCCAGGACACTTTTCTAGAAACTACAAACCTGTCAATGGGGATACAGCAATAAACAAAGGAGCCACTCTGTATCACAGAGAGGGTGAAAAACAGAAAATACGAACAAATAACTCATTACATCTTCATTAAATCTCTGCCTGGGTAGTGATGAGTCTGATTGTTCACTATTGTTTTTTCCCAATATACTGCACCAGCTAATAACATCCTCCTGTAGATGTTTACCCTCCCCTACAAAAAAAAAACTAAATAAATAAATAAAATCAAGAAATGTAGGGCGACAAGCTAATACTTCAGAGTTAAAGGTTTAATGGGCCCCTCACTTGTTGTGTCACCCTGGGCAAATTACTTCTCCTGGTTGAGCATTAGTTTGTCACCTGAGGACAGGGTTTCTGGGTTTCTGAGTTTCTGATAATAGACCACAAAGACGTATTAATGAAAAATAGATGACAATGAAATATGACGTTTACTGAATGCTATGTGCCAGGGATACATTCAAACATCATATGTGGCCCACATATCTAATGGTCTCCACATCTCTATGATAGATACCTCTACTATGTCTTCCACTTACTGGTAAGGAAACGAGGCATACAAGTTAAAACAACTTGCTGAAAAGCTATATGCGAAGCAGTGCCTGACCCCAAGGCAGGCACCTATAATTACATCTGCCTCTCTTGTTTCTTTTGTCTTTTGAGACAGGGTCTGGTAAGGTAGCCGAGGCTGGCCTCAAGTTCGCAATCCTGGATCCATCCTTCTGTCTCAGCCTCCTCCTAAGTAGTGGGTTTACAGGCCTACGCCACCACAGGCGGCTTATCTGCTTCTTAAAACTGCTGAATGAAGAAATAATGATGGAAACTAGAAGCGGTACAAATGGGGAAACTGAAGCTTAGAGAGGTTAAATAACGCGTCCAGCGTCAAGCAGTAGTCGCCAAGGCAAACGCTTGTTGCTCAGCAAGACCACGTGGCTTAAGAATTAACCAACTGAGGGGAACTCAAGCATGCCATTTCCCAAAGGAAGGCTTGGGCAGACGGCGCAAAGGCAGAGACGCTAAGGCCCGCAGAGGCAGGGAGGCTGCAGCACCCCTCCCCGCCGTCGGCCAGCCCAGAGCCTCGGGGTGCCCACGCCCGGTAGCCGGCCCGCCTCACCTAGGCGGCGGCAGCGCAGCAGCGCCCGGGCCTCCTGCAGCGTCCGCCGCCGGCTGAGGCGCGCCTCCAGCGCCGGGTGCCGGTAACTCTTGGGGAAGCGGTGCTTCACCACGGCCGCGCGGCCCAGGAAGAGGCCGCGGAACACGCGCGCCTCGGCGCCCTGCTTCACCAGCTCCAGGCCTCTCAGGAAGCGGCTGCTGCGCTCTCGGGCCGCGGCCAGCGCCTCGGCCTCCAGCGCGGGATCCGGACTCGCCTCAGCCATGACCCGGTTCCCACACTCAGGCTTTCTGTTCTTTTGGAAGAGTACAGCGGCACTTCCGCTCACTCCGGAAATACTCCTACATCGTCCGCCACTCAATGGCTCCCCCCGCCCCCCGACACTTCCACCCCGTTGAAGTGGTTCCGGCTTCAGACTCTTGGCTTTATTCGTACACTCTGAGATGGGTGCCCGAGGCGCACCGGACGCCTCTTCGTCTATCTCCGTAAGTTTTCGGCAGCTCTCGTTCTGCCCCGCTTTCCACACTCCTCGGCTCTCTCCGGAAGCTGTCGGTGATGATCGCAGCCGGCTTTGAAGCCTGTCTTGTAGAGACTGTCCTCTTTTGAAAGCTGCGGCATCTCTCCAGGAAAATGTTTAGGGACGCTCTGCTCCTTTTAGCTGTTTAGCTTCGGCAGAGCTTCGCCTCCTCACCTCTTAGTCTCATTTTTGGACTCCTTCCCCTTCAGCTCCTGAGTCCCACCCAGAAGAGCCAACAGCCAGCATCGTCTTAAGTGTTAGGATAATTCCTACCATTTAATGAATGCATTCAGGAATAGTAAGGTTATGGGAAGAAACCTGACCTTACAGAAAAAAGAATTAAAACTCAGAGGGCGGTGGGAATGATGAGATTGTGGAAGTGAGGAAAAGGGGAAATCAAAAGTTGTCGGAGAGGCTGGCCAGGTAGCTCGGAGGATTAAAGCACCTGTTTAGGAAGACGAAGCGATGCAGGTTCAATCCCCTGTGTGCTGTGCCGGCCCCGCCCCGAGGCGCTCTGAGCCGGTGACTGAGACTGCGCATGGTGGCGTGCACCTGTAATCCCAGCACTTGGGAGGCTGAAAACAGGAAGATTACTGCAAGTCTGATCTACGTAGTGAACCCCTGTAGACCCTGTACTAAATACATTTAAAAAAAAAAAAAAAGTTGTCCAGAGACAGAACCAAAGCTGTAGCAAGTTTTTACAAAACTTCTGAATACAAAACTAATACAAAGCTGTAGCAAGTTTTTTTTGTTGTTGTTTGTTTGTTTTGGTTTTTGGCGAAACCGGGGATTGAACTCAGGTCCTTGAGCTTGCCAGGCAAGTGCTTATTCCATTGAGCTATCTCCCCGGCCCCCTGTAGCAAGTTTTTACAGTACAGATTTTTCCACACAGACACATGTCAAAGACCGCTTAGCCTCACCAGTCTGTGCACCGTGTTCATTCTTTTTGCTTTTCTGCTCCTAAGTAATTTATCCTCAACAGTTTTCCACATTAGTGTATATAGAACAACCACATTCTTCCATGTGGAGACAAAAAACACTTCCTTTGTTGATAAGCCCTTCTTGAACAGTTTTGTTTCATTTTTAGCTTTGCTTTGCTTTCTCTTACGGCTGCAGTTGGCCTACCCTGGTATCTTTGCAAATGTGCATGAATGGTTCTGGGAACCATTTTCTACAAGTGAACCTGCTAGGTCACATCACTTTAAAACCTGACCCATCAGCCAAACTACAGTCCCAACACCTTGTGTCAGTTTTTACTTCTATCCAAAGTGTACCTCATTCCCTTGTACATTTTTTTAATCATTTATTTATTTATTTGGTACAGCTATACAGCTTGGACTCCCAGTGATCCTCCTGTCTCAGCCTCCCCATTGCTGGGATTACAGGTATGCACCACCAAGCTCAGTTTTTGTGGCCAGCTCAACTGCCCCCAGGGCCAGCACAGCATGTGGTACCGGGGATTGAACCCAGACCGCTGAGCTATCTCCCCAGACCTCCCTTGTACTTTTGCCCCAGTAGAGTGTCCCAGGTTTTGGGTTCATCCAGGTGGAGGAGTAGGAGGGTGCTTACGCCAAGCAGAGGGAAGAGACCCTAGGCAGGACTGAGGTGGACCAGGACCAGCAACTTCATGGGGTGGAAGCAATATGGTGCTAGGAAAAATCTGGGAGCTGAAAGGGCAGAGACAGTAGCCCAGCCCCAAAGGACTCCTCTTGCCCAAGGGGAGGTGCTGAGCAGCTGGGGTGACAGCTCCAGGCATGCCCCTTTGAGGCCTCCTCCTCTGATTGTGGAATGGGCAGCAGTTCTCCAGGCAGAAAAGCCAAGCAGTGCAGGCAAGGCTGAGGGAGGTTTTGGCTTTCATCCCTGAGCCCTTTCTGAGCTATAGTCTCTTCCTGGCTTCCTGCATGTCAGGCCCAGGTGCCTATTTATTCATTTACACACAAACTCATTTCAACAAACATTTGCTGAGTGACTAGTTCATATATGCCAGATATGAAGGTCCTGGGATCACAGCAGTAAATAGAATAAAGGCTTGTTACTGCCTTCATGGAGTTTGTATTCTAGCAGGTAGAAATAGACAATAAGCAAGTAAGTAAGGAAAATGTGTAGTTGGTATGGAAATAGTAGGTGGTATGGAAAGAAAACAGGCAGAGGAGTGGGTGGGATGACATGGATACTGGTTTTCCAGAGACACTGGCTCCCGCCATAACTACTGACTGCTTCTGCTCCTGCCACAACTATTAATAGTGCCCCCTTTTTATTCTTGAAAACATCCTGGATGTATAATGCATTAAATGGTTACCCATGGACAGTAGAGTAGAAGAGAGGAGTGATACTTTTTTTGTGCATGTGGCCAGCTCAGCCCACCCGGGGGGGTGGGGGGTGACGTGGCATGTGGTGCCGGGGATTGAACCGCAGTCCCTGCACACTTGCCTAAGCTTGCCTGAGCAGGCGCTTTAGACTGCTGAGCTATCTCACCAGCCCGTTGTGATACATTTTTTTTTCTTTTTTTTAATTAATTAATTAATTTATTTATTTATTTATTTAGTGTGTGTGTGTGTGGCCAGCTCAGCCCACCAGGGGGTGGGGCTGGCTGGCATGTGGTGCTGGGGGACTGAACCGCGGTCCCTGTGCTTTGCTTAGCTTAGTTTGTTCTAAGTAGGTGCTTTAGACCACTGAGCCATCTCACCAGCCCATGTGATACATTTTTAAATAAAATGATTGAGAAGGTTTTTCATGAAGAGGTGGCGTCTGAACCTGGCTGGCGGGGCGCACTTGTAACCTTAGCACTCCAGGAGGGAAAGGCAGGAGGCCTGCAACTTCAAGCCCAGACAGGACAACTCAGTGACTCCACGAAATCCTATCTCAACATAAAACAAGGAGGTCTGGGTATGTAACACAGTGCAAAGGCCCTGGGTTCAGTCACTAGTAACACTGCACTACACACACACACACACACACACACACACACACACACACACACACCATTTGAGTCTGTGAATTGATTCCTGAGGGAAGATCCAGGCAGAGAGAATGGCGAGGGCAATGGTTCCAGGCAGCACCTGCCTGTGCTTTAGTTTCCTCATTCATAAGATAAGCTGGTATCGCAGGTTCACGCCTGCAATCCCAGCACTCTGGGAGGCTAAAACAGAAGGCTTGCAAATCTGAGGCCAGCCTAAATGACTTAGCAGCATGGCAAGACCTTGTTGCAAAATAAAAGATAAAAGAGGCTAGCAATATGGCTGAGTATGAAAGCCCTGAGTTCAGCCCTTATTACTGGAAAAAAAAAGAAAAGAAAGAAAAGAAAAGCAAGTTATTGTCTATCTTGTAGGGCTTCTGTGTAGATTTAATGAAGAAACAGAAGCAAAGCTCCTAGAATTGTGCCAGGCTCATGACAAGCAGTCCAGAAATAGAAGCTATTATTATTTATGGAGTAGTTAATGTAGTAGTGATTATCATCTGATGCCTACCATCCAACCACTGTTTCTTGTGAGGACAGTGGCTTTCCCATGTGAGGTATCCTGAGGGGACACTGAGGCCACCTCTCGCTGGAGAAGCCCATTATGTGGTTTGCAACAAGAACCCGCCTGATAGCGCCCCTGAATGAGTGTGTGTTGATTACTGTGTAGCAGACAGGATAAAGCACTTTTGCATAAATAATCTAAAAATATATGCTTATTTATGAGAGTTGTTTGTTTCTCTTCTGGGTAACAGTCCAGACCTTTTGCTTCCTTCTCTGAGTCTATCCTGTTTGTCCCCTCTCCACTCAGTAAGAAGGGGTACAGGGGCCAGGAAGTAGGAAGCAGGGCCTTAAGAAGTTGACCCTTTTCCATGGGATTACAAATATAAACTTCCTGGGCTGCAATGAGGACCAGGAAGGGCTCGCTGTAGGTAGATTCTCCCACAGTTTGATATTTTAAAGTGCAAGTAGTCAAGTATTTTAATCAAGTATTTTGAATAGTACAAATAATAACTTTGGCCAGTCAAATAGCTCAGTGGATTAAAATGCCTGCAAGCAGGCACAGGGGTTAGGGGTTTGATCCCTGGGCCTGCTGTACTGGCCCTGCCCCCTGGGCGCGCTGAGAGGGCAATTGCGACTGGAAATGGTGGCGCATGCCTGTAATCCCAGCTTTTGGGAGGCTATAAACAGGCAGATCACTATGAGTCTGATCTAGTAGTGAGACCCTGAACACCCTGTAGACCCTTCTCTAAAATACAAATAATAATAATAATAATAATAATAATAATAATAGCTTCATGTATTAGCTCATAATATTTCAAGAGACAAGGGTTCCAGGGGTCATTCAGGAACTTTATGACACCAAGGACCCAAAATCCTTTTGTCCTTTTGCCCTGCCTGCCTCCACACGTTGCTTGAACCCTTTCCCTTCACCTTGTGCTCTCAGGATGGCCACCAAATTCCACGCATCATAGGAAGATATAGAAGTGTGTGCAAGAGAAGAGAGGTGCTACCCCCTGCATGCCTCTCTGTACTGGGGAGAGAACTTGGTGGAAGTCCCTTCCCTTCCCATCAGACCCCTTCAGGACACTGGCCTCAGGTGGCCTTTGTGCAGAGGAAACTGGCCAGTGAGGAGCTGGCATGATCAGCAGAGAGATGTGCTTTGCAAGCCAGGAGATGTGGTACAGGGCAGAGTTACAGGAGCAGCAGCCACAGTGCCCAGAACTCCATGTGACCCAGCCGCCTGCATCCTCTTTGAGCTTCCCTTTCCCAGTGTTCAGAGCAGGGGCTGTCAGGGGTGGAGTAAGTGGTGGCCTGCACCTATAAACCTAGGACTCTGGGAAGCTAAGGCAGGAGAATCACAAGTTGAAGTCCAGTCTGGGCAAT